TTGATTCAGCTACATCATACTTCCACAAAAACTCAACTGGCAGATTTCTTAACCAAGCCACTCCCAGGACCTATATTCAACAATTTACTCTCCAAGTTGAGCTTGATTAACATCCATGCTCCACTTGCGGGGGGGTAATAGAGTATTCATACAGTTGTAATACTTAGTTGTACATTTAGCTTTATTAGTTGTATTCTTCCTTTATATGTAAAAGTGTTATTTAGCAAGTAGCAACTTCATTGTAACAGTAATCATATAAATAGGGATCAAACCCTAAAGTGAGACCCATCGGTTCATTTTCCTTTTCATCTGAATATCAAAGCTTTCCCTTTCTCTCTCTAGATTGTGTGTTCCTTGTACTCTAATACTAGTAGTGTGGTAAATTTATACCTCAACATATTTGTGTTTGATGATTTGTGTCTATAATTTTGTCGTCTCTATTTGAAAATCATGAGTTCATCGCTATTAATAAACTTCCAAAGTTTGTAAATATTCCTTTTTAATATGATACATTTTTAACCTTTTTACGGAATAGAGTAATATGTTTTTTTTTTGCACGACGAAAATAATCGTAGATTACGTGGATTGTTTGCGCCGATGGTTTGCAACCCTTGGCCAATACCGCCTCACTTTATTAAAGATTTTATTACTATAAATAACGTGTTACCCCCACCTCACATACCCCGACAAGAAACCCCAAACAAGAAATAGTAAAAGAAAATAACAGAAAGAAAATATGATGCCCTTCGAATCTCGCTATTTATTCGTATTTTCATTGATCTTGTTGAATATGTTGTTTTTCATTCCCAATATCGCAATCTCCAAGCACAGTTCTAAGCCCATTCTTGGCGGGTGGACTAAAATCAATGATAATGATCTCAATAGCAAGGAGGTGCTCGGTGTTGCAAATTTCGCGGTGAACGAGCATAACAAAGAGGAAAAAACGAATCTGAAATTCGACAAAGTGATCGGGGGCATGAAACAGGTGGTCACGGGAGTTAATTACGATCTAACTATCGAAGCCACCGATAAGAAGCGCGTTGCCGGGAGTTACATTACGTTAGTGTATGTCGATATAAAGAACAAGGAAACCCTCATTTCCTTCAATAAAATCCAACAAAATCAATGATGGGTAATGTGTGTAATCTTTAACAAATTTCAGCTGAAATACATAAAAGCGTCAGACCTTGCTTAATGAAATAAATAACGACTTTTCCCTTTTATTTTTATTTACTAGACAACACCCGTGTATTACACGAGTACTTGTTAAAAAATTACTCTTAAATTTTAAATAATGAGAAAACTATATTAACTTTAGTTTACTTTTTTACAAAAAAAATATATTACTATTTATTTTAGAATGATATGTATTACGTATGACTTACATGTGTTATATTATATTATTTTTTATAACTTATATCATATAACTACTTGAAATATAAATATATTAGTTGATAAATAATTTCATTTTTCTAATTAATATTAAAAATAATTTTATTATTGTTATAAAGATAAATATAAATTATTTTGTTATACATACAATATGGATGTTAAATCGAAACTCATCAAAAGAAGATTAATTGATATATTACATATGTAAAACTGATAAAAAATACAAAAGTTATTAACTTTTAAAATTTATATACAATTCAATAGTTATAATAAGGAATGATATTAAAATACAATTAATACATGTAACATGACCATAAATAATCAACATATTTATGGTAATCCGAACCTAATTATTTTTGGTTTGGAATTAAATTAAAATTTATCCAAGCCTAATAACCATAATTTTGCCACATAAGATTTCGAAGCACCAGAAGCAGCCACGTAAGCTCAGCGCGTTCTGTATTAATAAATACTAGCACAACACCCGTGTATTACACGGGTGCTTGCTAATTTTTTTCTTAAAATCTAAAATTAATAAGAAAAAAGTAGTTTGAAAATTTAAATACATTTTATAAGAATATATATATTATTATATATTTATTATGACACTTTTTATTTGTGCGACTTACTTGTGTTATATTATGCTAATTTTTTTTTAACTTACAATATATAACTACATTACATATAAATATATCAATTGAGAAATAATTTTATTTTTCTAATGAATTTTAATAAATATTATTATTTTTTATTATTATAAAGATAAATATAATGTATTTATTTGATATATACAATATGGATGTCAAATCGAAGATCATCAAAAGATGATTAAATTGATATATTATATATGTAAAACCGATAAGAAATACAAAAGTTATCAACTTTTTAAATACATTTATAATTCAATATCTTATTGAAGGAAACAAATCAAAAGTCAGAGATATATTAGTCACTTAGTGCCTCACTATGTAAAATTATAAAAAATTAAAGGGTTATATTAGTAAAAGTGATATTAGAATACCTAAGTTAGCTAAATAATATTTATGGAATACCCGAACCTAGATGATTAATTATTAATATATCAATAGTATTCATCCAAACCTAATTACGAAGCATGATTCTTCGCCAAATAGGATTCCGAAGCACCAGAAGCAGCCACGTAGGCTCAGCGCATTCGAGAATTATATATAGGGAGGATTTTTATTTATTTATTTATTCATTTTTTATGTGCCCAAATTTTCTAATTAATTCTCAAGCTTCATCCCGCTTTGCATTCTGTGTTTTCTTCTTAGAAATATAATTTCAAATAGAGTTGTCAATAGAATGATATTTGGTACATTTGTTAGAAGGGCATAGGTGCCTTATTATTATTATTATTATTATATTATAGTTTAAATCATCAAACATACATATTATTATTATTTTTTTTTTTTTCAAAACGAAAAATATTAGCATAAATAAAACAGAGAGTACAATGTTCAGATTGGCAGAGCCGCCTACAAATCACTGGCCAACGGCCACACACAACTAAAAAAACACTAAGCAAGGGAGAGGGAGAACCATACAAGATGGCCTAACAGGAATAAGGGACAGATGGATAATCTCTCGGGCAGTTTAGGATAGTGAAGCCATGTGATAACCATCTGTCAAAACAAATACAACCTAACCACCGCAAAGAGCGTAGCTAGGGAAAAAACACAAATATCACAGAGAAACTGAACAAAAGAAGCTAAAACACTGAAACAAATTATAATAAGGAAGAGAATTTCAGCCATTCTTGAGAAGCCCCATCAACAATCAGCTTCTCATTTTGCCATTGATTTTTGTTGTGGCTCCATGTGAGTCTGCCTCTCTTAGAGCTGTTAATGTGAGTCTGTCTCTCTCACTAGGAATTTTTGTCCTAGCGCCCGGTATCCTCTTTGAGCTCCAAATTCCTTGATTTTCTATGGATTTCTTCACAATATTCATCACCCACGATTAATTATACATCATTCCGAACACGCTCAAGAATAAATAAGCCAATTTGAGTTCCAAGTAACCGCGAGCTGCTCCTCCACGAAACGATGCCCAGGTCCAAGAAAAGAACAAATTTTCACCCCCCCTTCTACTCGATAACACTTATGATCGAGAAGTTTCAGATGATAATCATGAGAGTGAAGATGAATCTAATTCGCCTGAAACTGAGAACTCGGTCGCTAGGCCAACTCGCGAAACCAAAAACCTCTGCAAAGCTGAAGATAATAACGCGGCCAAAAAGAGTGCTAACGATGATGTTAATGCCATAAATGATGATACTTATGTTGAGCTAGCTGAAGCAAAACAGGTTGTGAAAGATGGGAATCTAAATCTGGACACCAATCAGCTCCCGAAAACCGCCCGTAACGTGCTCGAAGAAAAGCCCCAAAAGAAATCTGCTCCTTTGGACAAGCAAAAAGTGGAGACTAAGGAAGGAAAAGCGGTAAATGGCATCGTCATTGGTCGTAAGCGTCCATTCAATGAGTTATTTGCAAACAACCAGAAGCCTTCCAACGGACTCAAGCTAACCTACACCAAACCAACGGAGGGCAAAGTCCGCTTGGAAAAAGTAGATATCGATGATGTTCAAACGACTTGGGAATATTGCCTTGTGGGATACTTCACCCATAGGCACCCCGAAAAGGAGGCGCTGTTGACAATATGTAACTCTTGGAAGGTGAAATACGAATACATCCCCGATTGAAAAACATCACACACAATCTCAGCCTTTGGATCAACACAAAGACATGGCTCATTCTCAGCCTTTAGATCAACAGAAAGAGACAAATCATGCACATGCAGCTCGTATGAATAGCAAGGACAATTGCTTCATTATGAGCTCCTGTACCAAGGCATCATCCAACCATTCACTCAACTCTGATTCATGCCATGTGTCATCATCGGAGACTACCAGAGTACATCAGCCTTCCCCAAGAGAATATACCTATAAAGATGCTTTATGTTGTAACCCTAGGCTTTAAGTATAAATAGCATGTTAGCTAAGGTTCTTTACAATTAAACAGTAAAGTTTTTTTTTTCCCTTAGCTGAAAATACTGATATGAATGCATTCATGAAAGGTTTTCTATCTATGGAAATTGTTCAGATTTACTTTCATCTTGTCATATTTCTTTTCATGGTATCAGAGCGGGTTTCTTGACCTGTCTCTGATATCTTCCTCTGTTTCTTTTCTTCTTCCTATATAATCTATCATCATGGCAGACGATGGATCCACAAACACCTCAAATTCTCATACAGATCCAGGCAAAGTCCAAAGACAAATCGTCTACCCTGTAAGACAGCTCATCACAGTGAAGCTAGATGAAGCAAACTACCTTATCTGGAAGCAGCAGGCTCTTACCACCATCAAAGGCTATGGTCTAGAGGAATTCATTTAAAAGAGCTCAAACATGCCTGATAAATTTATCACTACAGAAGAAGGTAACATAGAGTTGAACCCTCTTTTCTCTATCCGGCAGAGGCAAGATCAAATCCTTGCCTCATGGATCTTGTCTTCCTTAAGTGAAAGCATCTTGATTTTGACTGTTGGGCTAAACACAGCCAAGGAAATCCGGTTTGCCTTAGAAAATAAATTTTCCACTCAATCTCAAGCAAAAATTATGCAGTATAAGCTCATGCTGCAATCTCTCAGAAAATATGGCATGAGCATGAGGGATTATTTAGGAAACATGAAATCTTATTGTGATGTTTTAGCTTCAGCTGGGCACATTATCTCTTAAAAAGACCAAATCTTGCATGATCTGAATGGTTTACCAAGTGAGTATGACCCTGTGGTAGTCAGTGTCACCTCAAGAGTTGAGCCTTGCACCATGTCTGATCTCCATGCCATGTTACTGAGCTATGAGGCTAAAATGGAAGCCAACAACATCAACAACTTGAATGTTAACTCAGATGGCTCACAACCATCAGTCAATGCCACAACACAAGGTTTTCAAATGAGAAATCAAAACTTTCAGTTCAACAACAATAGAGGTGGTCAAAGAGCTTTTCGGCCAAATAGAGAAGGAATAAATGGCAAAAGAGGAAGAGGAGGAAGGTTCAATGGCCCTAGACCTGTTTGCCAAATTTGTCAAGTGACTGGGCATACAGCAGTAGATGCTGGTACAGAAATGACTCTACTGTCAACAACTCATCTGGTCAAGGGAATTCTCAGCAGCAACAACAAGTTTACAGAAATCCAGCTGCAAATCAAGTTGGTATCCTGATTCATGAGCAACTGTGCATGTTACCAATGACTTCAACAATTTGAATATGGCTTCAGACTATACTGGAACAAATAGGCTGCAAATGGGAAATGGAGTATCTGTTCCTATCAGTTCCTATCAGTCACATTGGTAACTCCACTTTGAAATCTCCATATGACTCTAAGGCTTTCATTCTCAAAAATCTCTTACATGTTCCTTCAATAACTAGAAAGTTACTCAATGTATCACAGTTTGCCTCAGATAACGATGTGTTCTTTAAATTTCATCCAAATTTCTGTCTTGTTAAGGATCAGCTCACCAAGGCAGTGCTTCTCAGAGGGAGTCTTGAAGAAGGGCTATACAAGTTCAACCTTCAGCCCAACAAGAACCAGTCTTCTTATCATTATCCTAGTAGTTTCAATCACCATGTTAATTTTATTGTTTCTTAGAAGGATTTGAATTCCAGCCTGTGGCACCTTAGATTAAGGCATGCAAATGAAGATGTTATTCAGAGAACAT